AGTGATTTCTTGCTTTCTGTCTAGCGAGTGCACGCACCCTATAGCAAAAACCTCTCCAAAAAAAAAGAAAGACCTGGTTCTAGGTGTGTGATTTCGCTGCTGATTGAGCAAACCTTGAGACCCACCATGTGCCTGACCTCTTTCCTGAAAGAATAAAAGGGGGTGGTATTTAGCCCTCCTCTCCATTACTCGCACAAATTTGTCAGCCTCTGTAGGACACTACCTGAGAAAGCATTTTGGAAGAGAAACTGTAGAGCTGTAAGCTTTTACCCCAGGTAAAATCGCCTGTACCTAAGTGCATTAATTTCTTCGATAGTAAACGGACTGTTTAGTAACATTTTTTTCAGAGGAGGAGAGAGAAAAGAGGAAGGCTTTGATTTTAATGTAATGCCCATTAATATAATGCAGTAATAAGCAACAGATAGAATGGAGGAAACATAAGTAGTCTGATTATCAAAGATTTATTCAGGCAAAGTGAAGTCTGACAAAAACACAAGAAAATAAGGGAACCAGCAGTTAGCGTAATAGCTATGTCACTGGATTCCCACGTAGTCGACCGCGGTTCGTGTCCCGGACCTGGTGGCTTAAAATGCGCGCCGGCCACGTGTGCCCAAGATCCCAAGAGGAGATGTGACCATCCCCCCTGGGGGGTGATTTCTCGCTTTCTGTCTCTCTGTCTCTCTCTGTCTGTCTGGTGAGCGCGGGCGCCCTATAGCGAAAATCTCTTCAAAAAAACACACAAGAGGGAACCAGCAGTTAGCGTAATGGCTATGTCGCTGGACTCCCACGTAGTCGACCGCGGTTCGCGTCCTGGACCCGGTGGTTTAAAACTCATGCCGGGCGCATGTGCGTGCGTGCCCAAGATCCCAAGAGGAGAATGGAGGAGAAGGGATTGCGGCATGACCATCCCCCCTGAGGGGTGATTTCTCCCTATGTCCCCCTCTGTCTGTCTGGGGAGCGCACGCGCCCTATAGCGAAAAACCTCTCCAAAAAAAAAAAAAAACACACAAGAAAATAGGATATTCTTCGTTTGATAACTATAATAAACTACACCATGCCTTTGTACATACCGCTAAACATTGATTCTCATCCAGACTCAAGATTTGAAATATTCTTGTTTGCTGATAATTCCTGATTTTAGATTTTAAACTCTGACCTCTGCCTAAAACTCAGTCTATTTGATGTTAAGAGTCAATAGGTAGGTTTGAGTATTATTACTACACATTTTTCAGAGCCATTTTAGTTAGATAAGAAGCCACGCTAAAATTAATTTGAACATCTGATAGTGAGGTTTATCCTGGAAAAAAGGTAGAAAACCAGAGATACAGGTTCATATTTATATACACATACAAGATTATATCAAGATAGGAATTTCCAAAATATCCCAAATCTCATACATCATTTCATCTATTTCATTCATCACATCCTAGCTGTCTGTAAAATGATGCCAATTTCCATCTGTTTTTGTCCACATTCTCAGTAGAAGATAATTCCAAAAGCATTGAGTACCTACAAAAATGTTTCATGCCGCCTATCTTTGGCAGTTTTAGATGTACCAAAACATCCTTGCCCTCAAGATTTCAGTCTTATGGAGCCCTTGGAAATCTAAATCTCAAACCATAGAGCCATAGATTGAGATCTCATTTTTCAAAACTGCAACACTCCAAAGTGTCTTTGATGATAATTTTGTAAGCAAGAAGACCTATTATCACTAGCTAGAGAAGATATTATACTTATTTTAAAGGCATTTTCTATGTCTTTTTTCAGCAGACCTTGTAATCAGGAAGCTCAAACAATTTGTTAATTTACAAAACATCTTGAGTTTCTAAAGAATGTTTATCAACATGAATAATTTAAGAAATGAGGGCTTTGGGGCCAGCAGATGGCGTAGCAGTTACATCGCTAGACTTCCATATGGCCTACCGCAATTCGAGTCCTCATCCAATGGCTTGTAACTCATGCCATGGCAGAAGTGTGTGTGTGTGTGTATGTGTGTGTGTGTGTGTGTGAGTGTGTGTGTATATGTGTGTATGTATGTGCGCATGCCCAAGAACCCAGAAGGAGAATGGAGGAGAAGGGATTACAGCATGGCCATCCCTGAGGGGGGGATTTCTCACTTTCTTTCTCACTGTCTTCTGTCTCTCTCCTCCAGCAAGTACGCGTGCCCTAATGCAAAAACCTCTTAAAAAAAAAGAGTGTCTCTTAGCTTAAAATGTATTTTAGCAGCATGTATTTTTAATTTAATTTTAATTGACATAATAGTATATTTTAGGTTGGTGCAAAAGTAATTAGTTTGAAAGTGTTGAAATTTGAGTTTAATCCTGGATACATTCTTTTTTTTTTTTTTTTTTTTGAGGATTTTTTTGCTATAGGGTATGTGCGCTCACCAGAAAGACAGAGAGACAGAAAGCAAGAAATCACCCCCCAGGGGGGATGGTCACGCCGCAATCCCTTCTTTCTCCTCTTGGGATTTTGGGCACACACACACACGCACCTGGCGTGAGTTTAAGCCACCGGGTCCGGGACGCGAACCGCGGTCGACTACATGGGAGTCCAGCGACATAGCCATTACGCTAATTACTGGTCCCAATACTGGATATATATATATTTTTTTTTTTTTTGAGGATTTTTTTGCTATAGGGTATGTGCGCTCACCAGAAAGACAGAGAGACAGAAAGCAAGAAATCACCCCCCAGGGGGGATGGTCACGCCGCAATCCCTTCTTTCTCCTCTTGGGATTTTGGGCACACACACACACGCACCTGGCGTGAGTTTAAGCCACCGGGTCCGGGACGCGAACCGCGGTCGACTACATGGGAGTCCAGCGACATAGCCATTACGCTAACTGCTGGTTCCCAATACTGGATATATTCTTAAATGTGGTTGTGTTACACGTCATCTTAATGCCCACTTATCACTTTATTTTTTTTGCTAATGACTTATTACTTGCTGTTTATCTTATACATATTTTAGAGTATGGAAATGATGTTAGACATAATGCAAATTCAAGCAGTTTTCTAACTTGAATTCAGAATGTGTCATAAGTCAGCGGAGACAACTCAAAACATCAGTTCATTTGACCCAGGAACTGCTAACAAAAGCACAGTGCATTAATGGTTCAAATTTTGCAAAGGAGGTGAAAGCCTTGAAGGTGAGGAGTGTAGGAGCGGACCATTGGAAATTGACAACCAATTGAGGACAATCACTGAAGGTGATCCTCTTAATACTATACAAGAAGGGATCAGCAGTTGGCGTAATGGCTTTGTCACTGGACTCCCATGTAGTCAACCGCGGTTCGAGTCCTGGACCTGGTGGCTTAAGCTCACGCTGGGTGCGTGTGCGCGGGTGCCCAAGATCCCAAGAGGAGAATGGAGAAGGAATTGCGGCATGGCCATCCCCTCTGGGGGGTGATTTCTTGCTTTCTGTCTCTGTCTC